ACCGCTCCTGACCACCCCCGGCTACTTTTGGCCCAGCCTAAAACCCGCGGGGCCGAGCCGAGCCGAGCCGAGGACAGCAGCCGCAGAAGCGCTGCTCAGCTCTCGCCCTGCCTGGGACGAGGCCACCCTGAGAAGGCCCCAGGAAGGACCCTCGATCCTCCCGGAGCCTCTGCCCCAACGCTGGCTTCAGGAGGGGCTCCTGGAGCTGCCGTCTCTGGAATTCCGGAGATCGTGGAGCAGATGGGCTCCACATTCTTGTTTAAAGGGTCCTGGGCAGAGCACCCAACCTGCTCCTCTCGTGGGAGAAGACAAGGGAGCCGGGAGGGGAGGCAGGACCCAGGCCAGCGGGCTCCCTATCAGAGCCCAGAGGCGGCACAGGGCGAGTTCCCTGTTTTACCGGGATCAATATTTGCCTCGGCTGCTTTTTACGTCCCACAAAACACAAGCAGCAATACTCAAACCCGAGGCTGCGTCTTCAGCTCGTTCCAACTCCGCTAACTCGGGGTTCCAGGGCGTCACCCCAGCAGCCTTCCCAGCTTCCAGCCCCGCTCACGCCACCGCTCTGCCCGAGCAGGCAGAGACCCGCGCCGGTCGCCTCGGCAGGACAGCCCAGCCCCGGCTCGGTTGGGTTTCCCGCTCGCTCACACCACCACGAGGGGGTTCCTCGGGGCCGGCGTGGGGACCGGCGCCGTGTGACACCTTTGTGGGGACGCGGCCGCCGGGATCGAGCGCACGCTCGGCAGATTTGCCGGTGACGCCAAGCGGCGCGGCACGGCGACGCGCTGGGGGGAAGGGAGTCCCAGATCCAGAGGGACCCAGACAGGCTGGAGAGGTGGCCCCAGGTGATCTTTAGGTCCCTTCCAACCCAACCCCTCCTCTGATTCCGCGGGGGGGAACATGCTTTTAACAAACACAGCATTTTTCCGGGAGTTTTCCCGGAGGCTTTTATTTCCAGGAGCTGCCTGTCACAGACTAGAGCTTCTCGGTTTCCCTCTGGTGCTGCCTTGACTTCTCCAGTCTGGGAAACAAGACGCCGGTGTCCGGTCCGAGCTGTCTCCCTTCGAAGGGACACGGCTCCCCATCGTAGCGTGGCAGGAATGTCAAACTCGAGAGACCCCTCTCTTCTGGCTCCACCGCCAGCCTGGAAAGCAGCTTGTCTGCAGCGTGCGGGATCACGGGCTGCAGGAGCGTCCCGTAGACACGCAGGCACTCCAGCGTGACGTGGATGATGGTGTCAAGCCAGAGCTGCTCTGCGGGGTCCTTTCGGTCGAGTTTCCAAGGCCTGTGTCTCTGGAAGAAACTGTTGGTCTGCCTCACGCACAGGGCAACACACTCTAAAGCCTTGTAGATCTGGAAACCCTCGAAACACCCAGCCACCTGCAGAGGCAGAGAAGCCACGGACGCCACGAACTCGTAGTCTTCAGCAGAAGCCCTGCCCGCAGCTTTCTCCCCGCTGTAGTCCGAGATCTTTGGAAAACAAGACTCTGAGAAACAAGGGTAGGTGTTGCTGGGGTTGATGCTGAGGGCTGTCGACCGATTCAGAAGCCCCCCAAGCGCGTCTGCCAGCTCCGAATTCACCACCTTAACCACCTTCTCCTCGTAATAGTCACAGTCCCGCTCGGGGACGCCCTGCCGCAGCAGGAAGTACCGGAAGCCGTCAGCCCTGAACCGTCCGATA